AATTGTTACCTTGGGCGACGGCTGGAGAAGAAACGCGACGGCGACCTGGGGGCGAGCTCCTCCGATTCTTCCTCCGGGCGGGCGCGGGATGAAGCAGCCGTCTCGTTTCCGCGAGCTGATGAGCGTGGCTTGCTCGTGTATATTTCCATGCCTCATACCGTCATGGACTGGGCGTGGATGTTTACACGCCCTTTTACATGAGTCGCTGGGAGTAATTTTTTAGCTGGCATCGTGTATATTTGCTATACACGTCCATATAGATGATCCACTAGAGATGCTCTTAACTTAACTATAAGCCGGCTCAAGTTTAACTTCAAAATGGACTTTACTGGAAGGCTTGAAAATTTGGTTTTCGAAAAGAAAGAAAATGGGCTTTTAAGTTCTGTTGGAGCTGCAACATGCCAGCCCTCGTGAAAGTGGATCCTCTAAAATGAAGGAGGAAAGTCACCTAAGTTACAGTGCAATCTAGTGTAAAACAGAGAAGGAAAGTCACGGACACTGTAGCGAACACTGTATTTATCTACTGTACACATTTATTGTTGATATAAATAAATTAAAAATCAATTTTATTGCATCATAATTTTGTTTGTATATGAATTTTATAAATGTATAAAGTAGATTTATAATTGCAAATTAATTCAAGTCATTTTAGTCTTAATCATATGGATCTGAAGGAGGGAAGTTAGAAAACTGTAGCTTAGAGCAACTCCAACGGGCCGACCCAAACCGACGGCGTTTTTGTCCGTTTGGGTCGGCCGCCCGCCCGCCGTTCGTCCTTTTTTAGATTTGGGTCGGCAGTGCGTCAACGGACCGACCCATTTCATGACCGCGCGCGCTTAGATCATGCCAGCGGCTATGCCGTCGCCCTGGTTTTGGCGCTCCAGCACGCGGGGGAAAAGCGGCCTAGCGCGCACTGGTTTTGGTGCTCCAGCGCGTGGGAAAGGTTCGCGCGTGCGCCGCGGCCGGCACTCGTTATAAGAAGACGCTCCTTTCACACTCTGTCCGCCACCCACTCGTCTTGCCCCCTCCTCACTAGCCTCGCCGCCTCTGCGCCACCATGTCGATGCGCTGCCTGGGCGCTTTAGATTTTCACGGAGTCCGCGAGCACCACTCCAGCGCCTTCTCCTTCGAGATCTGGTTTGGCGAGAAACACCTCATCCTTAGCACCTTCGACACCGCGGAGGAGGCGGCCCGCGCGCACGACG